TCTAGGGGGGAACTTCGCCAGATGCATGAATGCCACCTTCTCATGGTCGAAACCCCCAACACTCTTGCCGGCTGTCGTTGCCGACTTGCTGCCTGTCCCCTCTGTCGCCAACTTGCTAACTGTCCCCGCTGTCTGCATCTGATGAGCGAGCGGGATCCTCCCCAGGGGGCTCCAGGGCGGGGTTCCTCGCGTGGCCAGGGATGAATGAGTCAGGAAACATGGGGGAGACAGGTGTCAGATGGGTGTCAGGTGGGCGGGGAAAGGACAGGATATCATTTGTCGCTCAGGCCGGGATCTCTGCTAGTGACAAGGCATGGGGGGGAAGGGGTCCGGGAACTCCGTGGGGGGGCGTAATGGGAACGAGGTCTCAATGTTAGTCCACTCCTTGAAAACCAGCCTATATTCCCTTATTTCTTCTAAGTTTTTTAACCCATCCTCTTGATCCCCGCCCCATACTACTTTTGCAATCCACCCTTCCCTTTCCCCTCCCAGCCAGTCTTTGCAAAATTCCGTTATCCTTCTCCTGACATCTCTCGTTTGTTTAAAAAGATCCAGTTGTTCTTTTGCATCTATCCATCTGCGTGTGAGGTCTAGGCGAAGTTGCTGCTGGATTTGTTTTGTAATCTCCGCGCCTTCCACCCGTACGCTTTCCATGGTTAGAGTGCATTTTTGCCACCAAAGTGCCCACATCACGGCCCTTCTTCCTATTCTATACATGTTTTCGATGAAGGGCGTGAAAGTCTCTATCTGGGGCCAGTGTCCGGCTAGAATGGCTTGCCATGACCAAGGCCAGGGAATGTCTGGTTCCATCTTCCGCCAGATACGGTCCCACCATCTCCATATGAACTAGGCGATCGGACACTGCATAAAGATGTGTTCAATGGTTTCTGCCTTCTTGTGGAAGGGGAAGAGGCTCTGGCATCGCTGGCACCATGGGAGCAGCAGGCCTCTTTGTTCAAGGTTTGTCCTATCAATCAACCAATCGTTTGTTGGCAGGCAGCGGTGGGCTATCTGCCATTGTAGCGAGGTAATTTTCATTGGCTTATGCTTTTGTTCCTTGAACCATTGAATCGGTGTCAGGAGAGAGCGGTCGAGATTCAAATGCTTGGCTCATCTATCATTAATTGTATCCCTCAATTGGCGTTTGGGTCGAAGCATTTTATAGGCGGATTTGACCGTTAAGAGGCGCAGGCCAATGTGGCTCTCTCCGGCAGCGCCCCTTCGGCGGGGGGGTTGCCATACCCATTCTGTCGGGTCCAAGGCCAAGTCCTGGATAGGTTTGTCTGGCTGGAAGACCACCCTTTGTCCCTTTTCTTCCAGGACTCTCACTCTATTGGCCGTTGTTCTGCTCTTCCATACGAATGGTGGCCCCATTGCTTGGAGGGAATGTAGTGTTGTGATGGTGTGGCGTTTGATCAAGATCATTTGAGGGGAGACCATGTGAATCAGTCCAATCAGTTGTGGGGTCCCTGCGATCGTCACCCAGTCCCCTTCTATTAGCGTGGGGCCTCTCTTGAGGATCCAATACCATTCCAGCGGGATGGTTTCGATGAGGTTTTCCAGGGACTCCTCGACTCGATGGCAGTACCGTAAGACGACCCGCATTTGGTCCCCTGTCTTCCATGTTTGTCTGTCCGTGTCCCAGAGATCTCCAACCCTAAGAATACCATGTTTGACCCAGTTTTTCCATGGCGGGGCTGAGCTTATCTTCACCTGACCCTCTGTATCTGTTATCCATCGGTTGCCAAAGAGGGGCTGACGGTAGACTTCCTCCCATCGACCACGTTGGGTCCTGTCTGGAAGCGGGAGGCTACGCCAGGTTTGTAGCAGGGATGGCCAAAAGTTGTCCAATCGTTGGCCCCCTCCTTCTTCTGCTCCCTCCTTGCCGTTCGGAAGTTTACGTGGGATTGTCCAAAAGCGGTCTTCTAGCCAAGTGAGCGGGTGGGTGGTACGGGGGGCGGTCGGGGCTATCCGGGCAAGGTGTTCTAGGGCCAAGGCACACCATGGGCTCTAGGGGGCAAAGATGAGCTTCTTTATCCATTTGACTCGCAGGGCT